TGTATATAACTCGTGTTTCTGGCTCTTTTGTATAGCAGGGCATTATATTGTGCCCAAATTATTTTATTCTTAGTTCATAAATTTCAATCCTATATTTATGATGAGCAACATTTCTCCTTTATTTGTGTAGCTTAACACTTGGCCTGTTGTTGGTCAAGAACTAGATTAGTACTCGATTAAGAATTACGTGGGAAATGAGGTTCAGATTTATTGGACATTGCAAAAAAATCTATTTTATGCTTCATTCAAAAAAAAACTTAACGTGTGTTAGGCAATGTTGCTCATACAAGTTGGGTTGAAGCTTATAAACTTAAAAAAGAGCAAACTTTCTCACAATGTAGACAATATCACTACTTTGATGGGATGGGGTTAGAACTCGATCCTTTTTCACAGTAAAGTTTTTGTTAAGAAAAAACTATATATATGTTTTGATTGATTAATGTCAGGATTTTGAAAAAAGTATGTTATAAGCAAAGTAAATGTCTAAAGTATTACCAATCAAATTTTTGTGATGATACATCAAGTTGTTAAAAATTTATTTCAAAGTAAAGTGAAAAAATAAAAGTAAAAAAATAAAGTGAAATATTGATATTGACTGTTTTAAAAACACTTGTCATTTTTCGAGACATTTCCCTTACGGGGACTTTTTCAAAACTATGATGCCTTTAGATCCAATAGGATACTTTTTTATTTTTGATAAATCGACCCAGCAGAAATTTGATCATTTGAATTACTGACGAAAAAAAAGCACCTAAATTAATCTCTTTTTATAAATTGAAAATAAATAAATAAGAATAATAAATTTGTTTACATTCATTAGTTACTTTTAAATGTTTTGTATTCATATGATCATCAGATGTGTTTTAATAACTCTTAGCATTTCCTTATAAACAACTTTTTTAATCTATTGAAATTTTTATTTTTATAGACAAATCAAATTATATATTTATAATTTTTCTTTAAAATTGTTATGGATCGTTAAAATCATTAATTACGTATAAACACAATTATTTGAAAACAACTTTTTATATAAGCTTTGTTTTTCATTATTTAAAATGGCGGATCAAATATCCGTAGGATTTTACTTATAGGCATACTATGTTTGATTTTAAGATTCTTTGAAAGATAAAAAAGTAGCAATCATTTTAATAATTATTTTAGGGGTAAAATAAAACTTCTGCTGTTGATAATTGTAATATAATATGACGTAATATATCTGCTAATATAATCGAACTACAATAATGAAATCATATCAATCAATAGTTGTAATTAAAACGATAATAATGAAAACTTTTAAGTATCTTGTAAAACATTATCTATAAAAAAAAATTATTTTAATGCATACGTAAAAGTTACGTTACACAGATTATGTGTATAAAACTTATTAGTCAAAAATTGATTTAATAACACTTACACGTGTTGAACAAAATTTTAATTAAGTTATCATATTTTTAGTATGAAATTACGTGAAAATTATCACAACTTTTTAAACCAAAATATTTTAATTGAACAATAACAGATGAATTTTACATGGCTGTTTTTCAGCCTTTTGGAGTTATAAATGTGTGTCGCGCATCGATACATTACACGCTTGACTTAAAGTGATCCAAATTCGTTCATGAGTAACGAGTGAAAAATAAATCCTATTTCATACTTAAGTACTGAGTAAGTCTGAAACAATAGGCAAACAATTGCATAAATCGAACTTCTATGCGTGTGATCTGTCAAGTGATATAATGGGAAAATATTTCAGTTGTAGAAAGCCAAGTGTAAAATTTATCATCAATAATTGTCTTTCATAATATTTTACATTAATGTAATATATTATGAAAAAGTTGTTTCAACATTTTTCAAATACTTCAGAAGAATTAAAAATAATGTTTTAATAACTTTCAATGATCACGCGTAAATATTTGCAATAGCATTTCGCTCAAAAAACCTCTGACTTGAACTTGAAATTTTACAAACAATGATTTTTCAGCTGATAACTAAGAGATTTTTTTTGTAAGGCTATAATAAGTATTTTCTAAATTCAATTTTTAATAATTGTTATTATTATTTATTTAAGATCTTCCGATATACAAGTATTACTACAACTAAACAATTAATAATAATTATTAAAAATTCAATTTACAGTTATTGTTGACAATTTTAAAGGTAAGTAATAATAAATGAACTAACTTTAGGTGAACGATTCATTGAAATTTTAATTGATTAATCTTTTTTCAATAATTATTTTATTTTTCGTGATTATCATTGTAAATTAAGTTCTAAAAAAAAAAAAATGAATTATAAATGCTCGTCAAGTACCGTTCATAGACAGAAATACACAAGTGTAGTATTTGGTGCTCCTCGATAAATATTTATACTACTTCTCTTTCTATCTAGGCTTTACTAAGCAGTAATAAATATAAACAACGTTTTTAGGAAAAGGAAACGTACAAAATGACTGGGTGGTTTTCTGAACATACACTACCTAAGTACACACATAGGCACATTTAACTTTAAAGTCTTGTTTACCGTGCGTGTTTGAGATAATAATGTGCATAAAGGTGGTGCCTATTGTTTTCTCTCAAGACTTCATAAATATACACACCAAGTATTTCGTAGTTTTATATTATACGCACACTGCACGTATGGCATCATGATCATTCCTTTTCATCATTTAACTACAAACGATCATGCGGCGCATATATATATTATATACGAAAGCGTGTAAATAAATGTATTGCAATTGAAACAATGGGCAGTGAAGGTGGCGAGTGACGACAGTGGTTGCTGCGTAAATACAAGTGTCTATGAAAATCCTCTCGTCAATCATTCGGACCGAAACTTGCCCGACTAATAGAGATAAATCACGTCGATATAATTACAATTTATATAGAAGCGTACCATTGCAGGCATACACCTCAGAAAAAACGCTCTTATCCATCATTAAAACACAATGCGTGCATATTGTATAGGTATTCATCCTCTCACACTACATGCATTCATTTTTTCCAACCAACAATATTAATTTCCTGCGCACCATATGGGTTCCTGGGGCTTTGATTCAATTTACAGCTGGGACTCGGCTCAGCTATATGGGGGCTCGTATAGTTAACCCAATAACATAATAATGAGAGCCCACGGTCATTTACCCCTTGTGCATGTTGTTGTGTTGAACGAACGTCAGCAGAAGCCCCACGAGGCATACAAGGCGGCGCAGCAATGGCGAGTCGTTAGAGGGCGGCATTGATGGTGGGCACAACAACAAAAAGAAGTCTTACAAGTTAACCCCGAATAAACACAGCATGTTTCCACAACTAAGGTCACAACAAAAAATGCGTCAGTTTTAGAAATTAGGAAGCCAAAATTAATTTTTTATACAGCTGATTGTTCGAGCTATTCAAAGAAAAACTAATTTGATTCAGTAACACGAAACTTTACAAAGTTTTTAAATCGACCTTATTTCTATTCAAAATTAATTTTATAACATGATGATTGATGGATCCAACAATAATTGAATTTCAAAAAACACCTTGTTACGACTTTACAAGTCATAATAAGATCGAAACATACGACGGTGTGATAGTCACAGTCGCAAATAGTGTTTGACACTAGAGGTGATCAAGTTCTAATACTTAAAAAAAAATTATTTCCTACGCTTTTGTTTAATGAAATAATGTAGAAACACATTTTAAATTAACACTAATATTGTTTTTAAAATATAGTAACAATAATCGACACAAAAAATATTATGGTCAAAGAAAATAATTAACATTTTTTTTTTTTTAATGTGTTCAATTCATTTATAGCACTCGAAAACTTCATATTGTTGATTTTTTTAGCTACATCGCAAATTAAATACATTTATTAAGAAAGAAAAATGCACAAAAAAAATGTTTAATAAACCAAAAGGGTTTTTAAATTATTATAGTAAAAGAATATATTTAAAAAATTAATCTAAAAGAAAAATCAATAAGTATTTCCGATTTTATACGCACAAAGCTCTAAGTATGTTAAAATATGTTAATCTTAGTACTACTATACTAATATTTTCTATACTGTATGTATTGTTTACAAAAGTAATAGTACTAAAATCTAAAAGCAAAAAGTAATACAATTTTTATATCACTTACCTAATAAAGATTGATTTCAAAAATGAATTATACAGCTTATTTGTATTGTCTTCAAATCCTAAAATACATTTCAAAAATTATGTTTAAATTATAATATATTGATAAATTATATAATCTAAACAATTTTTTTTTTAATTTAGAAAATTTTAATTCAATCTTCTACAATATTACAGATACCATCTTCAAACATTTCAAAACAATTTATTCCATACGTCTATATCATTCACTGATATTTTTTTCAGAATTTTTTATAACGACGGTTTTTTGTTATAAAAGTTTAAAAAGATTTTTCGCGTTTATAAGTTTTTATTTATTATAAGTTATTGTTATTTGTAATAAGTTATTAAATTAAAATAGTCGTAAAAAAATTAACTGTAAACACCATAATTTTCTAAGTTAATTTTATAATAAAAAGTATAAATTTTTTTTGAAAATTGTCATCCCATTTTTCCTACGCTGGATATATTGATCCCATTAATTTGTAGTTAAATGTAATTGTAGTCAGAAAGTAATAACTCAATGCAGCCAGAATATAGAAGGTTTCAATAAATTATCTTTCTAGCCACTTGATAGTATTGACCTAACCTAATATTCATTTTACATTGTACGTATGAATCTCTTCTGTAAATGTGTAGAATTGTGAATAGTATAAAAACATAATTTTATATACTCCGTTGTATACCTATAAAAAATGATAGAGGGGTAGGATTCGCCATGATAGCCATCAGTTTGGAAATTGGTCAAGGACCTCGTAAAATCAAGCGATGGGACTGCTATTGTACTCGTATATCTTAAAATAAACTTATTTTTCAATTTAGTGGCGCAATCTACATTTCTAAATACTACATTTAGCTATTATCATATTTAAACATTGATTATAATGATAATAAACAATTAATGCTACAAAAAACATTGCAGTGAACTGGTATTTTATAAGTATTATGTGGACTCTTACAGAATCAAGTTTTTTTCCTATGCCTTCACAGGGTAACATCTATTCCTCTTCGGTGTTAACAACTGTTGACGGTAGTCATAAAATTCTTATAGCCTTTCAAAAAAAGAAAATAATTACTCTAGAGCCAGGGATTGAAGATGGTGAAATTGAACCTATTGCAAAAGAGTTAAAATTTTCCAATATTCCAAGTAGTATTATTTAATTTATAATTATTTAATTCTGATTAAAAATTTTAATATCAATTTTTAGGTAATGTAGAAATTATTTCAATTCATTTAATAAATAAATCCAAAACCTGTAATCACTTTGCAGTTGGAATAACATATCTTAAGGTAAGTTAATCCAATTACATTAAAATAAAATATTTTTACTTAAAATTATTTTATTTGCTTTTGTCAGTTTTATATAAACATTTAGCTTTTAAAAAAATCCTTGTATAAATATTTCCAAATATTTTTAAAAAGTTTTAAAATGAAATAATTTTAACTAATAAAAAAAAATAAAAATTAGTATTTGAAAGACTAGGAGTGTATTTGGCGGGTTCATCAAGTTAGGATCTTCTAAAATTAGGAACTGAACTAAAAAGTATTGCATGTCATGTAAGTAATGCAACTTAAAATTTATTAGAATTATAATTTCCAAAAATGTTGATAATTTTTTAAAAATTACTATTTTTTTCATGAGAATGTATAAAATTAAAAAGTATATTATCCTCCAACAATCAAAATTTTTAAGACCACCAAAATCTATTAAAAATACTACATATTTATTCTTATTTGTATTTAAATAATGAAAAACAAATTGTTTTCTTCTAAAATTAACTTATTTTTGAGAAATAGTATTATTTTATTCATATTACTAATAATTAATACTAAATAAATATTTTAATTTTTAATCTTTAAAAAATGTTTTGAATATTCTATTATATTGAGTATATTAATAAATAATATAGAGGACCTATATGCTTAATAGCACTCTGCATTACAACACTTTCTTTAGTTTCTTAAGGTTATTAACAATTGGCACTTTTTATAAAAAACATAAGTATAAACTAAAAAATTATATTATAATAAGGTGAATAAGAATTTTACTCAAAAAAAAAAAAATTTAAATCTAATATATTTGTGCTAAAATAAAAACAAATAATTTAAACTAAATTTTTATGAATTTTATCTAAAATTGCTTAACACTATCTATCTATTGTAGATTATAGGAGATGATGACCCAGTTTCTTACTTAAATATTTATTCAGGCTCACAGAATTCAGCATTAGAGACTATAACACAAAACTGTGAAGTAATTCAATTAAGTTTTATCCCTTATCAACTTAATCATGGTACATATTTAAAGGAAACACCTGAAGTAAAAATACTCTTTTTAATAGTATTTTGCAAGTATTTTAAATCAGAGTTTATATTTTATTTAGGTTATGTGGTTATTGTCTGGAAGTGATGGTAGAATACATGCATACAATGTAAATGAACCAATTCAGGAACAAAATATATTAAACTACTTTGTTGAGTATCAAGAATTAGCGGATTCAACAATATTATGCTTTGATACAAAATCATTCAATAACTATAAAAAGTACTTTTATTTCTTGTTGTTATAAAATAATGTGTATAATGTTGATTATTATTTTTAGAAGGGTATCATTCTTTGGATGTGAATCAGGCTATACAATGTTTTCTATAGTAGATACTACAAAGAATCAAATTTTACATTATTTTTATGAACATTATCAATTTCCAGTTTCAGTGATGAAACTATTCAATCTTAATAACAAAACAGTCAAATTAGATAATATCTTAACAGGTTAGTAATAGTAAAAATACATTGCTTAGTAGCATGCATAATGTCATGGGTAAATTGGGTTGAAGCTATAAAAATAGCTTCAACCCAAGGCTTTATAGCCTTTTATAGCGTTTAGCTATAAAAATCTAAGCTGTGTAGACTTTTGAATAAAAAAAAATTATTAAGAGTAAGGATTATCTAATAGTTAGTATCATTTTTATTCTTTACTACAATTTTGAATATATACAGTTTCTTTTTTATAAATTAATAAGTTAATGCTTATTAACAATATTTTTTTCAAAAATCAAAACTTCTTTTGTTAACAATTGAAAAATAAAATTTTAATTTATAAACCTAAAATATGTAATAGAGTCACTAGACTTATAACTGAATGTTTAATTAGTAATTGCTATGACTCAATAATAATTCATTTTTGAACAATCTTCCATTTCAATATAATGAATGTTGTAGTTTTATCAATTATTAAAAAGTTATAAAATATTAACTTGTTTTAAAAACTTAAATTAATATAATATAAAAAGGAAACTTTACTTATTTTTATATATCAATGATTACAAAATTATATTATATAAATGGAAAGAACTCAGCAAAAAACATAAATTATTCCTATCACTTTTTCTATATAATTTTCTAGTTAAAATGTATAGTTCCAATATAAAGAACCTTTCAAAACAAAAATGTATCTTTTTTGATTCGTATATGGTTAAATTGACAAAAATAATTTTTTGAAAAAATTAGACTTTTCTAGCTGTTGCCTGAGTCTTAAAATTGTCATGGAGGGTTATTGATTTCCTACTATCTAAAATTTGACCATTAGTGGTAATAGCATTTATTTTAGTTGAAAAAATGGAAATCCATATAATTAATGAAGTGATAGTATATATATAAAAAAAAAATACTATTTCTAGTATTTGCATCTAATTGTATGTTTATGTTACAGATAATAACATATCAGATAGTGATTGTATAGATGAAAAAAACAAAGTTTGTTTGCTTATAACAAATGCAGTTGAACCTTCTTTAGTTTATATGCAAGTACTGGTCTCTCACTAATAATTTTAATAAATATTAATTTACAATCATTAACTTAAAAATGTATTTTTAGGAATGTCTTAGAGGATTACTTAGGTAATATGATCATGTTAACTAATAGTGACAGTCATGATGCAATAATTTGTGCAACAGCTGCTGATGTTAATTTTGATTCTATAAACGAAATTTTACTTGGATCCTATGGTCATGTAATAAATACATTTAGATTAAAATTTTAAATTACTTTTTACTAGTAAATAAATTTTAAAAATAAAAACACAATTCATAAATTAAAATAAAAGAATATATATACATGTACTATACTATATCAAAATTTAAAATATCTAAAGAAAAGATTTTATCACATTTGCATTTATTCTAGTTTTAACTTAAAATAATTAGTAGTTTTTTAATTTTAGTTAGCCATAATACTTAATTTTCATAATTATTTATTTTTTATACTTGGTACATTTTTTGTTTTAGAGTATATTAATATACACATTTAAGGGTGATAAATGGTTAAAAGAGCCAGTTATAGCATTAAGATATCCCATTAATGGACTTTGGTATTTAGATATAACAAATCAAGGCGTAAAAGATTTAATAGTGATAAGTGAACGTGGTATTCACATTTTTAAAGTAAGCACTAATAAAAATAAATAAATAATACTTATATATAGAAAATAGTTTTTTGAATAAATCATATATTTAATTTTTTTCTTAATGTAATATATTTAGTATATATTGTTTAAAAGTTTTATATTTTTATTTTGAATTATCATTGAATTTAAAAAAATTATGAATTACTCAATATCATATTGGCATATAACATGTTATTAACTTCAAATTCTCATTTATAGTACTCATATAAAACTATTTTTTATTGTTTCTAAAACCTCGAGATTGATGGTTAATCTATCTTCAGTAAAAGGGATGGGAATTCTAATTATTGAACTGATCTGTTATTCAGCAAACAGAGCTAACCATGACAGGATATTAAACAATGACCGTTCACTATAGGCACTGTAACATACCAATTAGTTCACACCATTCCTGTATAACTTAAATTTTTTTTGTAATTTTATACAAATTATTATTAAAAATTTATTTTTTGAAGAAAACATTTTAGCTTCGATGCAAAGCGGAGAAGGTATTAATTTTACTATGTGTTTTTTTTTTTTATGTCTGTTGCCACTTTTTCTCAGCTCTCTCTGGACCAATTTCTTTCAAAAATACGTCAAAAGATCACAAATCGTATCTAGTTGAAGACATTACCCTTAAAAATTGAAAAAAATTCCCTCGTTCCCCGCAAATGGGGGAAATATCCAAAAAAATTACAAATTTAAAAATCGCTAATTTTCGAAATTTTTTCACTTTTTTTTCTTAAAACTTCCATAACTTTTTGAAAAATCAACAAATCAACATAATTTTTTTTTATACTAAAACCTTAGATATTTACCTTTCATTTGATATCATTTTTTTGAAAATCTATCACTTAACCTGCTCATTGGGGGGGATTTAAAATGGCAACTTTTTTACAAAAATTAATTTTTTCAACTTAATTTTTGAAAATGTTCCGGAAAGACTGCGTCCTTTAAACATATATCAAATTAAAGCTTATTTTATGTACTACAAAATGAAAAAAAAAAATTTGTCCCGACACTTTTTTTTCTACATTTAAACGGCTGCCGTAGTTAAAAAAACACTATTTTTGTGTTAAAATTTTCGATTTTCGATTTTAAATTTTCAACTTAAAAATGCTATAACTTTTTGAAAAATGTATATATCAGCACAAATTTTTTTTTTCTAAATACATTATAAGAACATCTTTTATTTGACATACTTTTTATTAAAATTGGACAATTTCCCCTTATATAGGGGGCGTTCAAAACTTAAAATATTGTAAAAAACATAGATCTTTTTCAACTGAACTTTTGAAAATGTTCCGGAAATACTGCGTCCTTTAAACATATATCAAATCAAAGGTTATGTTATATACTATCAAATGAAAAAAAAAAATTTGTCCCGACATCTTATCTTCTATGTGCAAATGGCTGTCGAAAATTCAAAAAAAAATGTAATGTTTGCGATAAAAATTACATTTTATCGGGATGTTTTTTGTACTTAAAACTGCCATAACTTTTTCAAAAATGAACAAATAAAAATAATATTTTTTTGTATTGAAACCTTAGATATTTCCCTTTCATTTGATATAATTTTTTTTGAAAATCTAACACTTATTCTGCTCACTGGGAGGATTTAAAATAGTAACTTTTTTACAAAAAATAACTTTTTCAACTTAATTTTTGAAAATGTTCCGGAAATACTGCGTCCTTTAAACATATATCAAATTAAAGCTTATTTTATGTACTACAAAATGAAAAAAAAAAATTTGTCCCGACACTTTTTTTTCTACATTTAAACGGCTGCCGTAGTTAAAAAAACACTATTTTTGTGTTAAAATTTTCGATTTTCGATTTTAAATTTTCAACTTAAAAATGCTATAACTTTTTGAAAAATGTATATATCAGCACAAATTTTTTTTTTCTAAATACATTATAAGTACATCTTTCATTTGACATACTTTTTATTAAAATTGGACAATTTCCCCTTATATAGGGGGCGTTCAAAACTTAAAATATTGTAAAAAACATAGATCTTTTTCAACTGAACTTTTGAAAATGTTCCGGAAATACTGCGTCCTTTAAACATATATCAAATTAAAGCTTATTTCATGTACTATAAAATAAAATAAAAAAATTTGTCCCGACGACCTATCTTCTATGCGCAAAAGGCTACCGTATTTAAAAATATGCTATTTTAACAAATTTTTTTTTTATAAATTAAACACTATCTACAGATTTGCATCGAAGCGTTTTTTATGATAGTGATTTTAATCACTGTCAGATATCATCTATACTGGACCCCACTGTGCCGCCACCCCACTGTGCTGGGTTTTTTACAATATTAATATTTAAACTATAACCTTTATGACATTATTTATACAAATCAAATGATTAGCATTAAAAAATAAATTACAATAGATTTTTAAATTCAAGGGGTAGTGACATATTATGTGAAAATAACTTAATTCAAGAGGTGCTAAGAAACCTTTTTAAATTGACATACCTAATCATTTATTTAACATTTTTTTAAATTATGTTTTTACAAAAAAACTTCTTTTAGCTAATTTTATGTAATACTGCTTTAAGAAAGTTTATTATTCACTTGACACATTTTTTACTAGAAAGTTATAATATTAATGGAGAAAAAAATGTTAACTATTGTTAATATGTTAAAAATTTTTTTAGCATGATCCACGTCATATATTAGACATATTGAAAAAACGTTTAAAAACCAGTAAGTAATATTTTTTTAATAAAATTAATAACTAAAGTTGTATCACATGAAACCAAACTTCTAAATATTGTTTTTTATGTATTAAATAAAAAGTTGTTTTTATTTTAATATTGTGTTTTTTATCATTTTTTTATTAGATTTATAATTTAAAAATATTATTATAAGTGTCATACAAGGTTATAAAATTAACAATTCGATCAATATTTTCAATCGTCATTTTAAAATTAAAATAATTTTAATTATAGTTTTTTCAATTATTGAAAACTATAATTGAATAAAGTGTGATATCTTTTCATATTAAAACATCATTTTCATCAAAATTAATGAATGAACCTATTAAGGTTTAATTATTTGTTATAGCAATATCTCATATATTAAATATTTCCATAGATCCAACTATAAAATTAATATTATGACATTTGGAATTTATACAACCCAATTATAATTAATTTCTCTGTAAAAAATAAGAATCATTAATTGTCCACAATAATTTTTACACTTATTTTTTGTATATATAAAAGTGTTGTATAAAATGAAATCACATATTTTAAGAGAACACTTAAATTTAAAATAAATTGTAATAGATCCATAAACATAGCTAATATAGTTTAACCTTTAGTGACAAGCACAGTAATTATTTACCCCAGTCAATTATTAATATTTTATAAATTATTTATTGTATTCAAATAATATAAAGAATATGATATTTTTTATTTATAAATTAATAATATACAATGAATAATTAATGAAAATTAAATAATGTAAAGAAGTTTATCTCACACATACAACTATATGGTCTTTTATCGCACAACACTAAAGGTTAATGGTTAAAGAAAAATTTTTAATAATAGGAAAAAATCCTATACCAAACTCTGCTTTTAGTATCATGAATGTAAAATGTTACATCACATAGAACATTGCAAAGGGAAAATAAAAAATATTTAAAATTTGTTTGAAAAATTTTATTTAATTTTCCAAGTTTTAAGTTTTTTATAATAATGGAAATTTTAATTTCTAGATATAATTTCTAAAAATATATAATTATTATAATCTATAAATTGATATATTTCAGTAATAAAAATTAAAATATATAACTATTATATTATATTAAAACATAAACATGATAAATTGACTTAAAATACTATCATATATTATTTATATTTTTAAATTGCACATTTATTAAAATATTTAAATAAGAAAACTTAGTATCATATGTATTGTTAATTCTTATAAAAAGTTGTACTTAAGCTATCAAAATAACATGCTTAAGCGAATCTTATTCATAAGAATTAATTGTAAATATGACCCTTAGTTTTATAAAATATATGGAATAAATGCTCTTCTTTTTTTTGGATATAACTTAAATGTTGATTGATACCACCAATGATTAAGCATTGCTGTTTCACACTGGTTGCTTAAAACCCAAAACACTACATACGGCCAAATTTGACTACCCCAAAGAATAATATAAATAGCTAAATACATGAGTGCTTCGCAAAACAAATGTGGGCATGAAATCTTATCAAAAAGTCCACCTGTTGGAATTTTATGTTCATATGTTACAACTTGGCCTTTTTCATTCACTCTTAATTTAGCTAATGTTTTATTGGTAGTATATTGTTCTTTGAAGGCCCAAATAAAAACAGATGAGCCAATAATCAGTTTTATATTAATATCAGACATAGAGATGTATGAATTAAAATCCATAGATGGTGTAGTGAACGGTGAAGGAGCTTCTGCTAAAATAGCTGTTATACATCCAAAATAATGTATATAGCCTATAGCATAATGTGAAATATTTATTGTGGATTTTGAAAATACACTTAAGTAATGAGTCTCATAAAATCTTCTCCAACATTGAACTAACATACAAGTTACAGCTATTAAAGTAGCTGTAGCATTATAACTTGTTCGTCTATTACTTGAAGCAAAAAAATCAAGAAAATTATAGATTATTTCTGGAACTGGCAATTTAAAAACAATAGTAGAAAGAATCAATAAAAACCCTAGAGTTGCCCAAACAGCTGCAAAAATATAAAAATGCTTGAACCATCTTTTAGGAACTTCCAAATAAGTAACAAGAAAATGTTTCCTTTTGCTTGAAAATTTACCATACCTAAATGATTGCACTATAGAAACTGGAAGTCTTGACTCAATTGAATTTATTAATATACTTAAAATAACAATAGCAAAAGCCATTCCGGCAAAAACTATTTTTAAAATAACCACATCCATTTTAAACCACAAAATAACAGTCACTATAACATAATTCAATTAAAATAAAATTTACTACAGTTTTGACAAGACAAGAAACAATATACAGTTATTTTTACAGTTAACTTTGAAAAAGTTCCACGCTAAGAATTGATAAAAAATTATCACCTGTTCGTGCTACTTCATCTGCGTGTCGATAGTTTTTATTATTTCTTCGTTTTCTGTAACTAATTTTTATTATTTATATTATTTACACTTTAAAATATTTCATCTTAAAAAAAATTATTTACGAAACAAGTTATCATATTTTTCAAAAATTCAAATAACAAATACAAATATTATCATTTCTTTTTTTGAAATTCATAATACATATCTGATAAGACTAAAGGTGGCCAATACGGCCTTAGATGATAAGGTTGGGTTGGTAATGAGTCAAAAAAGTTAAAAATATAGTCTGCAAAATATATATATATATATAATAAATATACAAAACATACCTTTATAATCTCAAATTCCTCTAAAAACGGCGCTTTTATGGACAACATCTGAACATACTGAACTCAATAATCAGATCACTGATAAAAAAAGTTCACCGACATTATATCTAAGGCATTGGTAGCCATTATGTCTTATCTCCATTTAAACAAAATTCATAACAATTTCATTAAAACTCTATAATCAAAAAACAATTTTTTTTTTGGTTAGTTTATTATGTATGAGTTGGAAAAATAATTTTTGTAAGCTTGTTTAGTTTCAAACTCAAAAATTAATGTAAGAATATTATTACTTTTAATTTCTAAATTGTATGGGGAGTGAAATTTAAATTTAAAAAAATAAGAAATAGTCTTTCACTAATCGTTACATCTGTTCACAGAATATTATTCATATCCACACTCATCATCAAGCTGCCAATTTCGGCATTGTAAATCCCCCAAAATGTAAGTATAACCAAATATATCATTTAGTTTATGATTAATATATGTCTCTTATTACAGCAAAATGCTACCGGTGTGGAATAGTGGGACATATAGCCCGGGAGTGTAAAAATCCAAAACGTAAGTACCATAAATCTAAGGTACTATTTGAATTTACAGACTTGGATGGTACACAAAAAGAAATATTCCAAATAGTACATTTTAAATAATTATTTAAATAAAATCATTTATGTAATTAGTAATCAATTTTGGAATATATAAAATAAAAGTTATAATTTATAATAGAATTATATTTAAGTGTTTTAACTAAAATAGTAATTTTATTTTGTTGTAGGATGCTACACATGTTTGAGAGAGGGGCATTTGGCCGGCTCATGTCCATTTTAATTTTCTTTACATTTTAACATATTTTTTATTTTATATCATTTTATATTTTGTTTTTTAAATTTTCATTTATTTAATCTTATGTTTTACATAATCACTGTATCACTTTATTGATACATCATATTCATTTGGTTAAAATGACATTATTCTTTTCAACAAATATAATTAAATAAATAACTTAGAATTATCTTTAACAAACACATAATGTTTAATTATATTACATTACACACGTTTCAGTTATAAATAAATTATTTGTCATGTAAAAATCACTCTTTACCGAGAAAAAATCAATTTATTAATAGTCATTATTTTTTACTCTATTATTATTATTAAATACAAAATGTCAATCCTATTGTCAAGTGTAAACAACTATATTAACGTTGTATAAAATGTCAAAATGATTTGTCTACATTTCTTATGTAATAATTTTATATTTTATTCTGTCTTATCAATAACATTGTAAGAATGAATATACATATTATAAGAATTGCAAAAAATAAAAAATAATTCTACTTTCAATTTCCTATTAGTGTCAATTGCCCACTTATATTGCTATATCGTAAATCGTCGTATATGTTCACGGAAATTAATTTTTTAAGTCACTTGCCAACTTTGTTGGTCACTAAATCTTATACCATTGAAAAGCCCACAAAATTTGCTATTAGAAAAACCTAATTTTGCGGGGTACAAGTGATGGGAACGTACCTCCCCATGAAGTTTTATACAAGAATATATTCATATATCGTAAATCGTCGTATATGTTCACGGAAATTAATTTTTTAAGTCACTTGCCAACTTTGTTGGTCACTAAATCATATACCATTGAAAAAATGAAATATTTCAAAAATTCATTTTGTTTATAGTCGTTGAAGTCTGACCATACAAAATAATGCATATAGTAATTTAGTGATTTCTATCAATTACTTTTAATTCAAAATTATTAAATAGAAAACCCCTTGATAATAGCGGTTTCTGCAACCTAATGTTCATAACTAACCAATATGGTTACTAAATTTTTATCAATGGTTACTTATCAGTTAATTTCGGGTGCTAAATTCACGGACATCTAGTATTTTTGAAATTTTTTAAAAAGTTTAGTAAGTACTACAGTTTTGATTTCTTTATATTAAAGTGTGTATCGAATTACAAAAATGTTAATATTTAATTATCATATGAATGAAGTTTCCAACTGTTGTTACTGGTAAAAGTAATTAATTTTAATTCAATTTAATTTGGGAATATCCCTTATGTAACTTTTTCAATCATTTTTTAAATATTTAAATCATTATATTTTGGATCTTACAATTTACTATCATTAAGATATGAAATTTTCAGATACTTGTTATCATTAAGATGGCTAAGGGAACAAAAGTTAAAGTCTATTTTTTTTCAATATTATTTATAAGTTCATAAATAGTTTGGGTTGTATTTTTGATTTTATTAAATATTTTACAAAGTCATGGATTTTATTGGTACATTTTTATAAAAAGAAAAATTATTTGCTTCTTAAAACTATAACAATATTTTTTTTTATCCTTTCTAGAATTAAAAAAACCTTAATTTTAATTTTCTTTAATGAAAACTTTTGTTACCTTAAAAATATGATTGAAAAGATTAATTGAAAAAAATTACTAACAATTTTGTTCTTACAATTTTTTTATTGAATTAATCGTTAATTTATTACTTATTAAAATTTAGTAACTTTTAAAAATTATTAGGGAATTAATTTTTAATTTATTAATTATTTCATTATTAATAATAACAAAATTCTTCATCTTTCTATTTTGTCACATAAACTAGTTTATATTGTTATAATATTATTATTATATTATCATTCAACATATGTAAATCTTATCTAAAAATTCAAATCTCTATTACAAGAGTCTAGAATTTAAGAAACATATCAACCAAATTTTTGTCAATTATTAGTGTATTTCAGACAATACATAAAATATTTTTTAATATAAAAATTGCTTACCATTAATTAAATTAAAGGGTACATTAAAAAAAAAAACTATTGAAATTTTTTCATTATCTAAAGTATATAATGCAAAATTAACTTTGCTCTTGAAAAGTAAGGAATATGTTGATATGCATCATAAACCTTAGGACCATAATTAATAATCGCATATTCCTATATTTAAAGCAAGTTTACCAATTTATATTATTATTATTATTAAGTATTATTATTATAATATTATTATCACAAACTTCTGTGTTGAAATTCGATTGTTAAACAATCTTAAAACACAAATGGTTGATTAAAAAAAAAAATTTGGAATAAAATTGTCTGTTCTATTTTTTTCTATTACAATATATATAAAGTTAAAATAGGGGTTCCCGTTTAAGAAAACTAAAATTAATATTTTTATTTTTCGAAGGGATGGAAAAATAATAATTTAACTATACATTTTTGATGATTTTTGAACCAAATAATTATACACTTTACAATAATTTAATATTTTCAATAATTTCTGAGAAAATGATTGTTTTATAAAAATTTATCACTTTGTATCAAATTAAATATATTTTTTTGTTATTTTAATTTTTATATTTATTGCACTCAGTACCGGATTTGATTTTTTATTATGAGAAGACTTTTAGTTAGATTACTATATATGAAGAATTTTTACTAAAGTAATAAGATTACTCTAAATCATAAACTCAAAAATCATTTTTAATAATGAAATGTGATGACATTTTTTTCTTAATAATTTTTTTAAAGAAATACCTAAAACTTGCTAGCACAGTGGTATAATATGTTAAATGATTTATAAGAAGCACTTAGAAGTGAAAGTAACAAAATTACTAAAAATTAAGAAATGATATCTTCTTTATGCTGTTTAAATAATTGATGATAAGTAGCACTATAATGAAAAAAATCCTCATTAATCAAAAGTGATTTAAATTTTGCACTTACCTTATTATTTTTTAAAATTTAACTTTTACCCCATCAGTTTCATATTAGCTTCGATGCGAAGCGGAGAAGGTATTAATTTTACTATGATGTGTTTTTTTTTTTTTTTTTATGTCTGTTGCCACTTTTTCTCAGCTCTCACTGGACCGATTTCTTTCAAAAATACGTCAAAAGATCACAAATCGTATCTAGTTGAAGACATTACCCTTAAAAATTGAAAAAAATTCCCTCGTTCCCCGCAAATGGGGGAAATATCCAAAAAAATTACAAATTTAAAAATCGCTAATTTTCGAAATTTTTTCACTTTTTTTTCTTAAAACTTCCATAACTTTTTGAAAAATCAACAAATCAACATAATTTTTTTTTATACTAAAACCTTAGATATTTACCTTTCATTTGATATCATTTTTTTGAAAATCTATCACTTAACCTGCTCATTGGGGGGGATTTAAAATGGCAACTTTTTTACAAAAATTAATTTTTTCAACTTAATTTTTGAAAATGTTCCGGAAAGACTGCGTCCTTTAAACATATATCAAATTAAAGCTTATTTTATGTACTACAAAATGAAAAAAAAAAATTTGTCCCGACACTTTTTTTTCTACATTTAAACGGCTGCCGTAGTTAAAAAAACACTATTTTTGTGTTAAAATTTTCGATTTTCGATTTTAAATTTTCAACTTAAAAATGCTATAACTTTTTGAAAAATGTATATATCAGCACAAATTTTTTTTTTCTAAATACATTATAAGTACATCTTTCATTTGACATACTTTTTATTAAAATTGGACAATTTCCCCTTATATAGGGGGCGTTCAAAACTTAAAATATTGTAAAAAACATAGATCTTTTTCAACTGAACTTTTGAAAATGTTCCGGAAATACTGCGTCCTTTAAACATATATCAAATCAAAGGTTATGTTATATACTATCAAATGAAAAAAAAAAATTTGTCCCGACATCTTATCTTCTATGTGCAAATGGCTGTCGAAAATTTAAAAAAAAATGTAATGTTTGCGATAAAAATTACATTTTATCGGGATGTTTTTTGTACTTAAAACTGCCATAACTTTTTCAAAAATGAACAAATAAAAATAATATTTTTTTGTATTGAAACCTTAGATATTTCCCTTTCATTTGATATAATTTTTTTTGAAAATCTAACACTTATTCTGCTCACTGGGAGGATTTAAAATAGTAACTTTTTTACAAAAAATAACTTTTTCAACTTAATTTTTGAAAATGTTCCGGAAATACTGCGTCCTTTAAACATATATAAAATTAAAGCTTATTTTATGTACTACAAAATGAAAAAAAAAAATTTGTCCCGACGATCTATCTTCTATACGCAAATGGCTACCATATTGAAAAATATACTATTTTTGTATGATAATTATGGGTTTTGTATTTTATTTTAATAGAAGTTGATGTTGCTTTTGCAATTATCCATCAATTTTTTAAAATTAAACACTATCTACAGATTTGCATCGAAGCGTTTCTTATGATAGTGATTTTAATCACTGTCAGATTAAATCTATACTGGACCCTACTATGCAATGTCTCCACTATGCCGCGACCCCACTGTGCTACCATTTTTTTTTTTTACCATTAATGTTTGTTGTAAAAGTTTTGTATTTAGTTTCATTAATTCTATATAAATATATATATATAAGACTTTGAGTTATGTTACTAATTAAAATATTTGATTATAATTAAACCAAAATTCAAATATTTTAGACACATAAGGTGTTTAGTTGCTATGTATTTTGTTTCGTAATTCATATTATATATCATATAATGTTTTCTTATACCATGTTTAAGAAATATTTTATTTATGTTATATTTAATTATAAAAACTATTAATTAGGTAATATTAACAGTTTTTTTTATTCTTTACATTTAAATTTAAAAACTGTATATTTATAACTGATTAGTAGATATTCATAAAATAATTTTGTAAATAATATCTATGATGTTGATAAAAATAATATTTTTGTAATAAGAAATACATTAAGAATTTATTTGCAGTCGTGTGAAGCAATCTGCAATGAATTTGGCTTATATTGTACTATATTATAATCCAATATCATTAATAAATATTTTATCACTTATGTTAAGATTGAGGTTAGACAAATATTCTTCCAACCTAAATTAACTATGCTTAATAAATTATTCAATGTTCATATTGGACCGCTTTCCTCCCCATGAAAAAAAATCTGAACTCCTTCTCAGACCTTTTACTCCAGTAAAACGAAATTCTTTCTTTTTGTCCGGCTCTTTTGACCAATCCGAAAACATGGTAAATAATGCATGTATTCCTTTGGTTACTTTGTTTTGATAATTTTTTTTGTCTTCATTTTTAAAATCATTAAGCTCCCGTTTTTCCATTTGGTGTTGTTCGTTGTAACTATCTATTTCATTTCGTTTGCCACCCCAACTAGAAAATGTTTGTTTTGTCCTGACATTTTTGTCCATTGATCTTTTCCCTCCCCAGCTTGAAAACGCTGGACGTTTACCCCAATATGGGTAAGTATTCTGTCTTTTTCCCCCCCAACTAGAAAATACTGTTTTCTGTCTTCGTTTTTCTGGCATTTCCAAGTAATTTAAATCTATTAGACGTGACGAATTTTCTAATATGTTGCATATATCTGCACTTGGTTCGATTTCACATAATTCATAAGCTTCTTGGAATGATATAATTGTGTCCGATTTAATTTCTTGGTTAGTTAGCTTCAAAATAACAATGAACAGCCACGATAAACTAATTTTTTTCATGCTGCAACGTAATATTTAAAATTAATTAATATTATCATAACAAATTATTACTACTATACAACATAAGACTATAAATTATTGAGATAAGTAATAATTAACTTGTATTGAATTTTTTTAAGAAATATCGAGTGCTAAGTCCTATATATCCCATTAATTTGTACTAATTGCAAATGAATAAGTATTTAGTGCGGGGGCATTATTTAAAATAATAGAGACTAAATACTCTTCAGTCTCTCTAAATCTGTCTATATGAAGAGTGCCCATACATGTACAAATTTAATACCTTTTGATCCAGTGAATATTTCGTGTTACTTTTTTTTACATTTTTAGTTTTGGACTACGTTAAAAATATATTATTTATTTTTTAATTTTATTGAAATTTAAAAGTGGCCATTTTTTAGCTCTATTATAATAAAATGTTTATTTCATCGATATCAACTTTATGATATCATGACACATGTGATCATGTGGATACATCTGGGAAACGAATTTGTATCGAACTAGAACATGGGCGTTCCTTACAAAAATAAATAAAGTTCCTTGCATTACCTAAAGCTAGATCTATCTTAATTTAATAAATAAACTCATAATTTAGTACCTCCCTTTGAAGATTTCTTTACTTTATAAATTAAAAGTTGTATATCTATTATATTATAATTTACTTCAATTTGTAAAAAATGATAAAATAATGTGTACTTATGTAACAACGATGAAAATGATAATGTATTATGTGAGGTATATAATAATGATATTATTACTTGTGTATACCCATTAAAAAAAAATGTCAAATCAAATTCCCACCTGTGCGATATTAATAAGGATACAAGGGAATAACACACGTTCTGTTACAAAAATTCGAACTTGAGTTCATTTGGCAAACAAGAGGTATTGATTAATGATCGAAAATTGACAAATTATTTTCCACTTTTGTATGTAACAATCATTATTTATAGTTTTAATTTTCAGTCATTTTTTATTTTTAATTTGTTGCTAAAAATACATTTTCGCATAAAATAAAATGCAAAATATTCATAGGTGTGTCTAAAAGGAACGATGCTTAGGGGAAGCCCGGATAAATAGTAAGTTGAGGAGAAAAAATAATAATATTGTTGTCAAACAGCTTTTAATAAGTAATAAAATTGTGAAATAATCTCAAATTTTAAAGACTGCACTTGAAGTTAATTTTTTATCTGTAACAAGTTAAAACAATTTTTTTGAAAAAATTAAAATAAGAGTTTTTGGTATCAACATTTTTCTTTAAAATGTATCTATATAATGACCATCTTTAAAAAAAAAATAATTTTTAAAATATTTTTTGTAATTTCGAAATTAACATTTAATTAACAAATAAAACATTTTTAAAATATAGTTTTATATTTTATAAATTGATTAAAAAATATAAAATGTTATGTAGATCATAAGTTATATGAGTTATCAGTTAGATCTGTTCTTGTCTGTGTAGATAAATGATCATATATAAGTCATATATATATATATACCATTCCGAGTATAAGTATACTTCCAATATTATGTTAATCTGCTGTACCTTATGTTATCGCCCTATAATAATTGTTCTATTTTTTATTTTTCTCACTATAGTATATAAAAAAAATTAAATTTGTAGTAGATGGTAATTTTTTTTTTTTAACTCATAATTATATTTTATTTTATATTATGGGCTTTCACTTATTATAAATAAATAAATACATGAATACATGAATACTGAATTTTTATTATTACATTAGAAATAGGTAAAATATCTAACAAATACTACATTAAAAGCTAAATTTGGTTACAGTAAATCATATTATTAAAAAAAAATTATTTAAATGAACACTTAAAATTCAATTTAAAATTAAAAAGACATAATAATTATTTTTGTTAATCTATGTTGTATAACAACTTAACCTTTTTAACCTAGTCTTATTACTCATATAACATATGTATATGGTATGTAATAATCAGTTTAAAGTTGCCTAGTTACTATAATCGTTTTTTGAAATTGTCTGCTAATTATGAAATTACAGTATGTGCTTATAGCCAAGACCGTATTTTTGGAAGGGCGTGGTTAGGGTTTTTAAAGTTAAAAAATTATATATATATATATATATATATATATATATATACAAGCAATTTTATTGTAAACGAGATGCGACGATAACTTACTAAACAACAAAGTCAATTAAAATGATTTTTATTCGTGATAATGACCTTTTTTTACTCATTCAAGTTTTCAAAATGTTATGAGCAAAGAAAAGAAATTTCTCTTCCTTTTAGATTGTTTTCCGATTATTCCACTGCTAATATTTTTATCTATTAATACAATAAGATCATACCTAACAAGTTTTCTCTTTTTTTTAATCAGTTTTATTTGCACTGTGCAACAAATATGTACTCGTTATATGAAATATAAGACTTGGTTTTATATGCGTAAGATGGGAGAAACACAAAGGCTCAACTCTACAGAAATTTACCAAAATTGAATGCATTGTTTAATAAAAATTATTTTTTGGAAGGAAAAATCAAATTTCACCCTCTCTCCTTAACTTCATCGCTCCTTTTAGAGTGGTCAATTTAAAAATTGGCCACCCTTCGACTATGCTTAGTTTACCCTACTCTCTCCAAAAATTGGTTCCTACTACGACTTACTTAAGGTGCTTTTGTATTTATTACATTAGATATCATTTATTATTATTATTATTATACTTTATTCAATAATAAATCAAAAACGTCCATTTTAGCGAATACTTAATATAAATAAATTGCATATAGACACTTTTTAGTATGGAATAATATCAGTTGCGCTTATGAATTAAACTCAAAAACCATGCTATTTATACTAAAAGTAACCAAATTATAATACATTGTTGAAATAAAAATTTACTTTATTTAAATCAATTTAATAATTTTAAAACTATTTAAATTTAAATAATCTATATGTACTAAGATTATTTTTTGATCAAATTATGTTTGGAATATGAAGAATGAATATCTTTTTAAATGAGCCATTTATAAATTCAAATTAACTTTCGTTTTATGTAGTAGAACTTTCAATTTATTTCGCAATATTGTCGGTTAAAGTTTGATTACTTAAATAATCTAAAGATAACCATATTATGTTTATTTAGTTTTCAAACAAAAATTTGTGAAAGTGTTTCAAAAGCAATACGATTTGGCCGTTTTTTATGAGATCACCTCAGGAGTATTTTCTTTTAGACAAAAATAAATGTATTATTTTTGAAAACACCTCTTTTGACTTGATGAGTAAAAGAAATTTTATTAAACAAGAAAAATAGGTATTTATAAAGTGATATTTTTTATTCAAAAAAAGTTATTGTTTTTATCATTGTTTTATTATTTGATTCCAATTTAGGTATGAACTAATGATAATAATTTTTTTGTAGCATTTATTTATTGAAGCTTTATACCAAACGACTTACTTATTCTTTTTTATTATAAATATTAACCCTTTTCCAAAAATTGTATTATTTATTATTTTTAGACAAAAATATAATACTGTAAATCGTTTATATGAAGATATCCGAGATCCGTTGTTAATGCTATTATTTAGTTATTATGACATTTATCTGAACTTAAAATTATAATAGGTTCAGTAAAATGTCAAAATTCTCATTCATAGAAGATTAACAAATAGGATAGTAAACAACATAATTCCCGATTGTTTAATTTATTTATGAATTATATAACTACAACAATTATTTTAATTAGATATGAAACAAGCCATACCGTATTGATGTATTGAACTACTTATCTACTTTATACAATTCGACTAGTATGAACCGTATTTGAAAATTTTTACTATAACATTTACCCAAATTAATAAAACACATAATTATTGTCTCAATTTTGCGCAAATTACTTTTAAAAAGTAATAAAACTTCAATTACTCGTTATATTTTCAAAAAGTAATTTAGAATTTAAAGTCACTTATTTTGAATTTAATAAAATTATTTTACTTAATATAAAAAAATTAAAACTACCTAAAATTACATGTTTTTTTTAATTTAGAGGTTGATTACTCAAAGAAGATAAATAGTTGAACGCCTTTCTTCTTTAAATTGTATAATACATAAAAGACCTTATTTAATTTGGCTTTAAATTGTGTAAATTTGTTCCATTGCAATGTAAAAAATTTCAAAGTCGGCTACATTTATCAATAATTGTATAATTTTTTGCTTTAATGTCCAATAGCCCTAGTAATCAAGATTTCAAATAGTTTTTCTTTTTTTATTTTAAAGTACATTGTGTTAACTTTAATTTAATGCCGATTTAAAGAGATCAAGTAATTTGGAGCATTATCAAAAATTAAAAAAAAAATTAGGATATGATTATTTTATGCCCCCACAGTTCTTTGGTTAATGATTGGATTTTCAAAAAATATATTTTGCGAAAAGTCAAATGTTTGAAGTATTATTAGTAAAAACTTCATGATAAACCGTCCAGTTTTCAAAAAGTTTATTCAATATAAAGTGAAAACTAAAAATATAAACATTGATTGTTTTATGGCAATTTTAATTTTGTGGATAATTTCTCTTTACTACCGATTTGAAGGGAATTTTTTTACAAACAATTTTATTTAGTAAAAATCAAATTTACAACAACATAGATTATTGTTAATAAGTTCCGTATATTTTTTTCAACATTTTTGTTATATACGGTTTCAATATTTAATTTTTTTCCATCATTGTCCTGAATATTTTTTTTTAATTGAGCTTAAATTTTTTCCAAAATGCTTAGAAATTCAAATAATAATATTTTTTTGTTTTTGAAGTTTTTTTCAAAATTAAATCAGAAATAATTTTGAAATTTGATTTATTACAAATCAAATTACTTTGGACAATTTTTTTAAGCTATTTTAATGCTTGGCGCCTCTTTTGAATCTAACATATTTACAATATCACAATTTTTTTCATAATTTTTACAATAGAAAATAACAGCAGTTATCTAAATGTCCCAACGAATAAATAACAAGCTCTGGTGGTAACGAAATTTTTGATGCTTGAGTCTTAAATAATTGAATACGCATTGGTGTTTTCAAAATTTTTTTAACACTCGATACAAACATCGACTGTCATATGATCAGTTTATTACCGGTCGGAGGGATAAATTTTTCAAAATTTTAGCACTTATAGCTTCAACTAAATACGTTTATTGATTTTTTGACGTATCATTTGACAAAATCGGTCCTGTAGAAGCGGAAGTATTTGCACTTACGGACACCAAATAATAATAATGTACACAGAAAAGTAAAACCAATAGCTTCTCAACATCAGAGCTAAAACCGTTTCATAAAACACACCCCCTGTAACGATTGCTTAAATCGACTATTTTGTCATTTTCATGTTCATTCGGCAAATTATGGATCTTTTTTTGAATATATATATTTTTTCAAAGAATAATTTATGATTTGCATAAAAAAATATAACTTTAAAGTAAATAATTATCTAAAATCAAAAATATATTTAAAATAATATTAATCCACAAGTAATCAATTCTCTTTATAATGAAGCTATCTTTTATTTTAACGCGTTAAAAATAAAAAAATATTGAATAAATTTTATTTTCGTATTTAATTTATATATTATTTAATTGACAAAAAAAAAGGAATTACATTCCTTAAATGTATTACAGTAACGAGTAATTTCAGTTACTTTACTATACAAGGCATAATAAGATATACTAATAGTAAAAATATGTTTCTTTATATTTTTGTTTTTAATTTATTATATTCAAGATATTTAAGTAAAACCCTTAAAATATACTCATATTATTATTAAATCATATGTTAAAAATGCTTGTTCTATATCTAGAACTTTATTTAAAGTTGTGCTTGGAGAATGTTTTGCCTATAACATCTTGAAAAGATGTTATAGGATTTGTATTTAAGATTCTCTTGGTAACTAAAGATATATATTGACATATTACACGTATAAGATTAATTTTGTTTGATTCAACATTGATTTACTGAAATTTAAATGTAATGTTATTTTTAATTCCTAATGTTATGGAAAGAAAAGCGGTGAAAATATTAACGATTAAATTAATCAATAATCTAACTTCAACAATATATTCAAATAAAATTGTTTTAATTATAAAATTAATTATTTTTATAAATTATTAATATCACTAATTCACTTATCGCCAATTTGATTTCAAACTCTTTGGTGTAATAATAAAATTAAATGTTTTTAACTCCTTTTTATAAACCTATTTATAATAAAATAAAACAATTTTAATATATTTAGAATGTGCAAAAAAGTTTCAAATGTATTTATTTTTTGGATTTAAGATTTTACAGCGATTATTGGCTTAGCAGACCGATTAAAGTTATTAATACTTTTTAAAACATTACTCGATAAAATATAATTTATTTGTGATATTCACTATCAAACTTATAGCTGTTCAAACTTCTACTTGCTGTATTTTTATCTTCTGTTTCATAAATATATAATTGTACATTATTAGAAGATTTATTTGCTTATTAATTCTTGCAACTTCATACAGTAAATAACTTTTTTACATAGGATCCTTTAGATAAAAGATACTTAATAGGTAATTATAAATAAAAGAATATTTAATGAAAAATAACAATGTACAATAATATTTAAGGTAGTCGAAGTTCAGATGCATGAAAAAAGTTAGTACCTCTTAAAGTATAAAGACAAAGAAGTAACTTAAAATTTAAATTTTACATTAATAAATTAATTAAATGCAAAAAAATTCTAAAATAAAGGTACTTTATGCAACATGTTTAGTAAGTAAGGAAACAGGTCAATAGTTTCAAACAATGAGATCGATAGAAACCCGTTACCTTAATAATAATAAATAGGTGTGTCAAGTTACGCATTCTATTTCGGCGATTCTATTACATTACTTATAAGACGCTATTTTTAACTTGTTATAAATCTTAAAAAACTAATTATATTTTATTTTACCTAAAAAGATTTTTTATTGAAAAAAATAATTTCTATTTTTTAATATAATTTTCACTTAGCTGCCATCGTTCTGATCTTTAAAGAGTTAATTCAAGTATTTATTGTTGCAGTGTATGACTGTTTATTGACGCATGTTGCTGTCTTAACTACTCGGACTTGTTTTGGTATTCTAGTACTTTACATTCACGATCATTTTTTATAATATTTTATAATGTCTGTACAGCCCTATAGTTTTGAACAAACTCAGGAAGATATACGTAGGTGATCTAAATTTTTCATAAGAAAATTTTCCTACCGCTTATGCTTAGAATTATGTGTATAAGAACGATCGAGAAATAAAAATAAAAGTTGGTAATCTTGTAATAGGTGCATATCTTTTATTCTTATTTTGAATGTATTTATTGCGTTAAATCTGAATAAATTAATAATTTACAATTAAATAATAATAATAAATGACATAAAAAAATATTTGATTATTTATCAATAATTTTATTTATAATTAGCTATTAACAAGTGTATAATAATGATAAAATGGTGTACAAATTTTAAATTTAAATCAAGTGACAACTGATATGATTTCTATGGAAAAAAACCTCAACAATTAATTAAGAATAAATTCTAAATATGTCCATTATAACGTCAATACACAGTTAAATACTGCAACAATAAATACTTGAATTAATTATTTTTACACTTTAGAACGATTGCAACCCAATGAAATTATGCTAAAATAAAGAATTTTTTTTTTTCAATAAATGAGCTTCTTATGTAAAATAAAATATAATTAGTTTTTTATGATTTATAACAAGTTAAAGATAGTGCACCATATATAAAATGTATGTCACGTGCCTATTTAATATCACCCGTAAGTCATTAATGAGAAATTTGAATAAAAAATTTTAGCCTCAAAAATTGTAGCTATTTGTTATTTTTTAAATTAATAAAAAAAATTTGATTTTTTAGTTGGCTAGTCCTTTAAAAGTATATTTATTGCAAAATTTTCGGTCATTTTGTTCTTTATTTATTTTTAACTATGCCAACCTGTTAAACACAATACCAGTTAGTAAGAAAAAAATAGGATATACATTTTTAATAATTATTTTTTTTTATCAATTGAAATAAATTTTATTATTGAGAGAGAGAAAAAGTATAATTTAAAGTTGCTGTTTATTATTATTTTTTTACATTATTTATAACTTCTATTCTTTTTTCATTAAGTCATAAGTACCATAATATTCAGCTTAAATAAGTTATAACACGTATACTAACACATTATTTGAATGAAAAATTTTATTCTTCAACAATAATGTTCCCAAAAATAATAGTTAATTAATAATAAATACATCTTTTTATGCTTGTATCTAACATTACTTTTATTTTTCAAATTTTCAAAGATTATAAAAAAAATATTTATTTTAAATTCTTAGAATATTCCCTGAGAATCTAACAAGATTTTTAAAAACAATTTGTATATACCAATCACCAGGTGTGTGAGTTGTGCCCCTGGGCTTTAAAGGGACTTTCAAGTTCTGATGATTACTAAAAATACATTTAAGATTAATGTTCTTTATTTACCAAAAAATTTTTTTAATGGCCTCACAAAATTTATTTGTAAAAGGTCCTATAAATTTTAGCACCGATCCTGATTGTTTGTACTCCGTATTTGTAAATACTGAATTTTCATTGTCTTATCTTATTTTTTTTTCAAATAAATTTATTTCCATAATAATTAATATATATAGTATATTATTAAGGATCCGCGTATTTAGGTATTTTCTAGGCTAATAAAAATTTTTCATAAATTTATAATAAATATTACTTTTGATAACTTTTTTTTTTTTTTTTTTTTTTT